AATCTCTCCGAGTCTTCTTTTATAATAACAATGTTTTTTTGATTAAGTAATAAATAATTTGTAATAATAATGTCAGATTTTTATTTTATTTTAAATGTGACCAAATCTAAAATACAGAAGGAAAATAGCCTCTTGGTTAACTGTGGTGCGTTTGAAGAAATGTCTATTAATGTGCACCGCCCGTTAAATGAACTTATAACTAGATAAACAGATTCCATTTATTACTTCCAATTGAGAAGCTGAAACCATTTACAGTTTGGCTTTCTCTACGCAAATATTGACTCGAATGATTAATTATCAAACTTGAAGAATACTGTAAACCCACATGACTGGACTATTGTTTCAGCTTAATTGCTGCTTTGACATTAGGTCAAGGAATTCGCTTTCCATCATTGGGTTGCATTGTGCTAAATTTGCTACTGTACAAAGCAGAGCACATGGATGCAACCACATCGATTACATAATCCACTGCCCCCCCCCCCACCCCTCTCTCATTCTTACACCTCTGTTCGCTCTTCTCTTTCTGTCCTGTTCTTTCCGTGGGTCAGGAGCAGTGGGTTTTCCTGCACTGTGTCCTCCTTTAGCTGAGACATGTCACCGTACAGGAGCTGCATGTCATCATGACTTTACATACACATCTGTGACTGCAGCCCACATTATACACGTTGCGTCTCGCCTGTTTGTTGGCTTTTAATTTGAAAAGCACTGCATGTTAATGTGCATGCTTAGGTTGGAGAATAAATCTGTCAGGAGCACGCTGCATCTTGTCTCTGATATGAGCGGCTGTCAGGCAGGAGATTCTCCATTCAGTGCTGGAGGAGAAAGGAAGAAGGATGCTGTCGCTTCATTTGTAATCACACAATGGAGTTTCTGTTCCGGCATTGTTTGAGGTCAATCATCTGATAAACTTCCCAGTCTGGTTAATGAAAGCCAAAGTCTTTATTGATCCATTCTCTGCATGTGGAAGCCGTAGTTACTTCTGCCAAAGAGGATGTGTTTGTCAGTTATAAATCATAAATCAGATTCCAGGGAAAGTTAAACCATGGAGGAAGAGGAAGGGATACGATTTGGGCTGTGGATTTGTTTAATTCATTCTTGGACTGGAAATATTCAAAGTAAAAACGTAATGCATGCTGTCAAATTCAGAATTTGGATAATATTGTGGACATTTGGATACGTTTAGGGGAAGTTTATCCACGCTCCCTTCTCTTCCTGCTTTGAACCTTATAGGTGAATTGACACTGTACATGTTGCGTTCCATGTCTTTAAGTTACTGTCAGGAATCTTCCCAATTACTACTGTACGCTAAGAAGCTGTTGGCAGCAGGCTAGCAGCTGTGTTTTGGTCTCACTCATACTGAGTTTCTTCATTCACGTTATCTCCTTCACACTCGTTTTTAAATATAATTAAGTAGTAGTAGTAGTAGTATTGTTATAGTTGCAATACTGATGTGAAAGTGACAGTTGTCAGGTCAGGTACAATCTATTAGGGGTTGAATGATGATTACAAAAATAATCTGATTGTATGGAAGTCTATGAGAAAATTGAAAATGAAAACTTCTTTCTTGATTTATTATCTTAGTTTTTCTTTTCCTAATAAGTATGTAGTCTCAATTGCTAGTCTAGTGTCTTCCTCAATACATGCAAGATGTTCAATTTGTTACACTAAAAGTAATATTGACAGGTTTCAACCATGGTGAAGTCAGTCTTTTCGTCTTACATCGTTATCCCATTGGAGTGTCTTTGTTTTGATCAGCAGCCAATCAGCATCATTTCAGTTCACTGATGCAGATGAAATCTAATGTTCTCTAAAGTAACACATTGAGAGGGTCGTGCAGGTGCTGTATCTCTCTCTGAGGTTTTTCTTTGCTTCTCATTGTTAGAACAGAGTCGGTTTCCAGTTACTATTGTTGTCTGTGTAAATGCATTTAGGAGGGGCTCAAACTGACATTTTAGTGCAACAAAGCTGCTTTGGAAAGTGGAGACCAGGAGGCAGGCAGCAAGAAGCCCCCGGTGGAGGCACACCCTGTACTGTTTGAGCAAACCAGGACACTATGGACGCACCGTGTGGGACACTTTGTTAAAGAGGCCCTATTATGCTTTATGGGGTTTGTCTGCATGTAAATGGTCTGCAAAGGCTACAATCCCAAAGTTCCCTCCAGAAGGAGTTTCTCAAGCCCCAAGGAAGAGTGCCGTCCGTTGAAGCAAATGTGCCTTGTTGCCGAAAAGGTTAAGTTGTAGTTCTTGATGCATTTGGGCCCAGAAAAACGTTTTCCCATTGACTGACATTGTGAAAGAGATATCTGTAAATCAGCATATACAATTTTGCTAAATAAACTACCCAGTATGAACACACTTCAGCCCTTATTTTAATCATTAGGGTATAAAAGTTGTAAAAAGCGCTAAAAGCCATTTACTTCCACAAAATAGTGACATCACTATTCACTTCTACTGGCTAACCAGCTAACCAATCAGAGCAGACTGGGCTCTGGTTTCAGACAGAGGGTGAAAAGAGGTGCTGCAGCACAGGCAGTATGAGAACAATAGAGAGCTTTTTCAACATTAAAGCATGGAGACGTGTCACAGTAGAGACACAGAATACAAATATGAACCTGAAAATAACTATAATATGTCCTCTATAACCGACAGTTTACAAGACAACAATGTGAGTAATTCCAGGTATTTATTTGAGGAGTTGTTCTTTTGAAAAAGACACACCTTTTAAATATGCACCTTATAACATCATAGGGCATAGTGGGGTGATTTTAAATGTCACCTTAAAGCTTTGTGCGTCAGACACCTGCTCACAAAAACACATCAGTGGCACCTTTTATCAGAACAAATCTGCAACAAGCTCTGACAGGCTCATAGCAGCTGAACCCGGTCTGAGGAGGTTTGAGCCAGATGCTGAGTGGAGACAAAACAGCCACACACACACACACACACACACACACACACACACACACACACACACACACACACACACACACACACACACACACACACACACACACACACACAGAGTCACACCCTAAGGAACCTGTGACGCCACTTTAACAAGGCGCCCGGCTATTAAACCAACGGTGCTGCAACTCCAGATGGAGCAAGCACATCCTAGCTGCCAGACCTCCTCACCATCATCCTCTTCTTCTTGCTTTCAGCGCCTGTTACATTCATTTAGGATCTGGAGTCACTTACTGCATCCAACCGTAAGTGTCAACGATGAGATAAAGCTTCTGTTGCAGTTGCAATACACATATGATACATATGAAGCTTTCGGAGTGATAGCTGCAGGAAGTTTGAGTCATTTTGCATCAATGGGAGTTTTCTAAAGTGCCGGATAGCGGCTGTTGGCTCCGGACAGAAGCAGCGTGTGATTTGGCAGATACATGTCATCAGTTATTCAGCAGAAGTACTTGCACTGACTCACTCTAAGGTTCCATTGACGTTTCTTGAATCTAAAAATAGATTTAGTCCTCATTTCAGTCGTAGCAGCTTGTCTGGAAATTGATAGAAAATCCCATTAAGGGGTTTACAGACAGCTCTCTGCTGCTGGAGGGAGAACAAGAGTAATAGATTGACCAGGATTAACTCTGATCAACTGATCTCTCCTCCAGAGCTATGTTAAGAAGCTAAGTATGCTTTCATCTTGTGGTATGCTCCGCTGACAGCGAGACCGTCCTGCTTTTACTTCCCTCTCAGACTACCACAGAAGTTAGTGCAAAGTGAGTGCTTTACACACAGATATGTCATGTAAAGGGATTTAACTAGAGATGGGGTCGTACATTGATTGTATCAAATGTATCTGCATCAATTTGGATAACCTTTTTTCCAGGCTCAAGCTTCTTAAATGTTATCGAAATTGAGCTGTTTGGGAATGTTGGTAAGGAAAATAAAAACAGCATCATTTTGGGATCTTAGTTGTGATTGATATTTTTTGCCATTGGAATCCTTTGGCTACTTCCCTAACGTATATATATTATAACACTTAGTTTGGTGGTCTAACAATCGGAAGGTTGTGGGTTCGATTCCAGCTCCTGAATTCTACTAGTCAATAATACAATATAACAAAACATTTGGTAGTTATAGCCCTGATTCTTTTCATATTAGATTTTAGTCGCTTGAATATCAACTAATGCATCACTACTGTTACTTAAAATGTTTACATTTTTGTGATTCAATATGGCAATTGAATGGATTCAGATTTGCAAAATTATTGTTTTGAGGATTGTCAACATCAGATTAATTGGCAAAAATGTAAATGATCTAATAATTGTATTTAATCAGCAAGGCATACTGGCATCATGATGTCAGTTACATTCATACTTAAAAAAACATGCATGTTAACAGGCAATATCAAGTTCATTCAACGTCCGATAAGCCGATGACGCAAGAAATGTTAAGGTCATGTCAAAATATTGTACAATGAGTTGATAATGAAAAAATTATCGAGGTCATTTTGATATTTTTAATGTATTTTGCATGTCCATAATAAGATGAGTTAATAACGTGAACATATTTAGCTCATGTCCATACTAATTTTACAATTAGCTTATAAAGTAAAAATATTGAGGTCATGTCCATAATACTTTACAATCAGTCCATTTAGTGATGAGGCGTAACCATGGGCGTAACTGCTCCCATTTCTTCTGTTATTGTCATCAAACTGAATATCTATTGGTTTTTAGGATTTTCACTATTTTTCACATGTTACCGAATAAATGATCAATAAAACACAACAAGCTCTTGATTAATCTTTAATATGAATATTTAATAGTGCTTTATTGACATAAATAACATTAAAACAAAGCTTTTTTTGCTAAATAATCAGTTGAGGATGATTACATGCTCGACCAATCAATGAATAATTTAGAAGAACTACAAACAGAGATATTATTTGGAATAAACAATAAAGTGTCTGTACATAGTCTCATGGTTTCAATCAAGTTTTGTCTCTAACCATTGTTTTCTAATGATGTTTTTCTTTCTTGTGTGTTTCAGGTAAGAGGAAGACGCTGCTCAAGCTCCCCAAGGAGGTGTTTGAGCAGCCTCCTCCCACAGCAGTGTAAGACTTTTTCCTTATTGTTAACTGTCACGATTTATGATGTCCCCTATTTTCATCCATCACACACTGAATGAAACCTAGTAGACAGACTGCTGAATGTGGTAAATGATTATCTGATGAACTGCATTCAAAAGGAGAGGGAAGTTCAATGATGGCTTATATTATCATCAGTGTATTGTAATTGGAATACAAACGTGAGTATTAATATCTTCACATCACACCCCTGACATTTGTTATAACACAATAATCATGTGTACGTCCTGTTGCTCCTTCATCATCATCATCATCATCATCGTCCTCTCCTTGCTCCTGTTAACATGAGGCTCAGACTGCAGCTGTTTGCAGAGCAACAGGAAAACGAAATGTCTCAAAGTGAACCATCTTCATTGAGAAACCTGCAGCAGCAGAGGCGTTTTGGTTTCAGGCGAAATTCATATGAAGAGTCAGACTTTCAGCTGTATTACACTCTGTGCTCCCATTGCATTCACATGTTTTATTAGCTTTTTTTTGGTAATCTTTTACATTTAATTGAATTTCTTATTGTATAATTGGGTTATTTTTATTTATTGTATTTAAAAATTAAGTTATTTTTTTACAATTTAATATTTTAAATGCAAATACTTTTAACCCATACAACACCCTTTTTAATGTGGTGATTAGATTTGTCCCAATGAATTAGTGTTTTTAATTTCTATTATTTCTTTTATTTAAAACATGTATTTTTTTTGTGATTTTGTATTATTTAGTTTATTTATTGATTTATTTCATTTGTAACTTTTTTAGTTTTAGTTTTTTAATACGATCATCAAAGTTATTATTTCAATTATTTGCTGTTTTTATGTAACTTTTAAATGATATCGCATATATGCATTTTGTTGCATTTATTTGGCTTTATAAATCTGTTAACTTTGACTGGACGAAAATGTAATTTATGATCCACATAAAATGTTCTTCAACACCTCTATGAACAACATGAGCGATATACAGTATCATTTGAATTCATCCACACAGGCTGCTTATGCTTCCTCAGTAGGGTTGAGAACAAAGACATTTACATTTTCATCTGTGTTCAACATTTTCCTGACTTTGACTTCCTGCTTCACTTTGTTGTATCTTCCTCAGAAGTCAAATATAACCTGGTCATAATATAAGTCATATCTTTGTGTGTTTCAGACCCCCCAGAGATTTGGATTCGAAAGCTTGTGTAACTATCGGAGAGAAGGTAATTTCATTAGATAGGAGTGCATAATTCATGTGTTCACCTTTCCTAATCCCGTTCCAGGTTTATACATTTTCTCTCCTACCTTGTATATCTTGCATAACTCGTCACTATTTACTTTTCTTCCTCTCCCAGTGTATTAGCACTCCTCACAGGTCAGCTTAGCAGAGGGTCCGTTAGCCGTAAAGAACGCCCGGGTGAACATTACAGCCGAATTGAACACTTCTGATTGTGGGGAGACTGGAATGTCTTTTATTGCCCGTCGGGCCGTACAAATATTTATTTTAAACTCATCAAATAAGTGGAATTTTCCATTGGCTGAGCTGCCTGTTTTTCTGTGCTCGAGTTTGGCCAGAAGTCAAAGTGAAAGATGTCTGGTGAATAATGTAAAAGAGATGAAAGACTAGTCTTGCTGCATGGAGTTATTTAAGGATTCAGACTTCGAAGAATATTTACATAATGTAGGAAGCTGGTGGTTGAAAAAGTATTCCAATCATTAACTTCAGTGAAATACCTTACACCACTGTCACAAGTAACATCTCTGCATTCAAAAACGTATTTAAAGAGGCCCTGTTGTGTTTTTTGGGTTTTCCCTTTCCTTAATATAGGTTGTTGTGGTTGTTAATGGTCTGCAAAGGCTAACATCCCAAAGTGTGTTTACTTCTGTAACATAGTGACATCACAATGTCACACTCCCACTTCTATTGGCTGGAGCTCCAACACTTTGTACATGATAGGCTAAGTGGTAGGACATCTCCAAGCGGTTGACCAATCACAACAGAGCCCGCCAGCTAACCAATCAGAGCAGACTGGGCTCTGGTTTCAGACAGAGGGTGAAAAGAGGTGCTGCAGCACAGGCAGTATGAGGAAAATATAGAGCTTTTTGAACATTAAAGCATGGAGACATGTCACAGTAGAGACACTATATACAAATATGAACCAGAACATTTGCATAATATGTCCTCTCTAAGAAGTATGAAAGAAATATGAGCAAAATATATTTCAAATTTAATTGCAGTAAAATTCCACATTTCATTGTTTTACAATAAAAGTACATGATGTTTCTGGATTCCTATTACTGCTGCATCAGTATGTTTGATGCATGTTTCCACTCTATGTGTAAGGTTGTGATTATTTATACATCTATTCCAAGAGGCTTTTTGATATTTGGCTAAAGAAGTAGGACAATTCTCTCAACAAATACAGAAACACTTCATCATTCAGTTAATCGAAAACATTCAGAATGAACACATCTGGAGAGGTTTCCACTAGACACGAAGGGGATGAAAACTGTAGCTAAAGCTGCACGACAAAGTGTTTATCTCTGATCCATAAAGTAGCATAACATGAAAGTACTGAAGTGAAGTGGGTACCTTACATTTGTACTAAAGTTCAGAACTTATAGTTAACTTTCAACAACTACAACTACAGTAGATGAGGCATACCCACTCCTGTCCTCTCCTCCTGTGTTAACTCTCTTTAATCAAAGACTATTTTTTATATTTCTTTAGTGTTTATATGCCCCTCTCACGCGGCCTTGTTCCTCTGTGGTGTCTGCAGAACTTCGAGGTGAAGGCCGATGACCTGGAGCAGATCTGCGAGCTGGGCCGGGGGGCGTACGGCGTGGTGGAGAAGATGAGGCACGTGCCCAGTGGCCTGATCATGGCTGTGAAGGTGAGGGTCCCTGCATTTCAACAAGCCCCCATGCTTTCACACGTAAGGTGGTATATCAATGAAATAATATTTAAATCCAATTTGATTAATTTAGCTCAATATCAGCAAACACATTTGTCTCAGGGGGAGAGCAGGAAATGTGTGGTGTGTGTGTGTGTCGGCTGTCAGTGGCGGAGTCAGTCACTCTGTGACCCGCTCCGTCACAGGGGCCTTTCACCAACAAACATGGAGGAACTACATTTATAATGTGTACCTCCCCGCATAGAAATGTCTGAAAAGGACTTGACCTAGTTATATATTTTGTTAACTTGTGTACCTATATTATCACTAATAATCTTATAAAAAAATCATTATTTTATTCAAAGTCCCCTGTCAGCATTATGGTTGTCTGCCAGAAACGGTAATTTGTTTAGCTTTCTTTCTTTTTTTACATATACTTTATAAATTCATGGTTGTTTAACTAAATATCTAACTGTTAAAAGGATGTTAGTCTTGGGACATCTGGATTTTTGGTTATTAGACAAATAAGCTGTTAGCGTTGAATGACCAACCCTGTTTGGCACAAAATCGCATTTCACATCAAATCACATTGTGCATTTGAAGCCATATTCATATTAACTTACATCAGAATTACAGACTCTGGTAAATTAACAAACATGCAAAAGACACAGGAACGTACCTGGAGGAAGATATATGTTGTAAAATGAAGAACAAACAAAGCATTGACACACAGTAGATGCCCTTGTGGTTCTGAGCCGTTGTACTTCATGTCCTCAGCGGATCCGGGCCACCGTGAACACTCAGGAGCAGAAGAGGCTGCTCATGGATCTGGACATCTCCATGAGGACCGTGGACTGTTACTACACCGTCACCTTCTACGGAGCGCTCTTCAGAGAGGTAACCTGCTGTAGAGATGGAAACATTTAGAAGGTTTCACCTGTAGGAGACAACTCGTCTGATTAGAGGAATGGTAAATGGACTGTACTTATATAGCGCTTTATCCAGTCTTTAAGACCCCTCATGTCATCTGAGCGTACCTACATTCACACACATTCACACACCGTTGGCCATGCCATCGGGAGCAACTCAGGGTTAAGTATCTTGCCCAAGGATACTTCGACATGTTGACTGCATGGGCTGGGATCGAACCCACAACCTTCTGGTTGAAAGACTCCCTCGCAGCCACAGTCACCCTGAGGACACACCATAGGGCTGTGTTCCAAACCTGAATACATCTGACCTTTAACCTTAGCTGCACACGTTCATATCTTTTTTCTCTGTTAGGTTCTGATTTGAATCATTTATTTGTATTTAAGTATGCATTTAGACAAGAAGTCTGACCTCTCTTGTTAGCAGACAATTTAGTTTCGTAGGAAAAAAATGTCATATTTGTTAAGGAACGTTTAAAAAATATATTATTTATTTAGCAACCAGAAAGTGTTTTGTTCTGTTTTTCCTCACAGTATGTTGTGTTATTTTAAGTGCACAGCATTTTTTTGTAATATATATGTATATGTTTTATTCTTTTTATAATTCTATTTTTTGGTTTTAGCTTTAAAAAAGACAAACATGTTAGATAATTAAAAGAAAGAAAACAAGAATAAAAAATACATCAAGATTCTAAAAGTAAAATAAAAAAATAATAATATATGTAAAAAAATAAAATATATATATATAAATATATAAATGATGAAGAAACTGTAAAATATTCAAATATTTAAATTAAAAAAGGTGTCTTTAGTCCAGATCTCTGAATACCTGTGAAGGATGCAGACTACTTCCTGCAGCAGTGAGTGGATGTTCAGGATTTCCTCGCCGTGACTGTAAACACTGGAAATTCCGTGTCTTCCTGTCCGTCTGTCTGGAACGCGTCCTGGTGTTGTGTTTTCCTCATCTCTGTCCTCGTGTGTCGGCAGGGCGATGTCTGGATCTGCATGGAGCTGATGGACACCTCCCTGGACAAGTTCTACAAGCAGGTGATCGAGAAGGGAATGAGCATCCCCGAGGACATCCTGGGAAAGATCGCCGTCTCCGTGGGTTCCACTCAAATCACTCTGAGCAGCACAATTCAAAATGATTGACTTCCTGTGAATGCTCAGCTTAATGACACATAATTGTTGTCTAACTCTCATTTGCTTATTAATGAGCTTTGTTATTACAGATAGTAAAAGCTTTGGAGCATCTGCACAGCAATCTGCAAGTCATACACAGAGGTAAGAGCCGAGTGGAGAGCCATTAAAGCTCTTAATGTCCATATCCACTTCTGATATGCATCAACACGCCGCTGCATGAGAGGCTTTCTTCCCTTTCGTTACTCCATCCAGCTCTCATTAAAGGATCTCGTCAGTCATGTTTTACTCCATTAGCATAAAGTCATAAATGCTGCTGCGTTATATAATTATCAAAGTCTTTTATCTGATCTTTCAGGCAGCCATTATTTTCCATTCTTTTTCACATGATGCTAAAATTAGCAGCCTCTTTGCATGAGTCATTTAAGCCATTACCATGGACATCAAAGCCTGCATTATTTACATTATCATTTTGACTTTCAGTACTACATACTTCAAATTAATTTCCATTAAAAGCTGCATTTATCAATATATTTGTATAAAAAGTGGATTGAATGTAGTATGACTGACGTCAATCACTGACAGGAGCGGGAGAAGTACTCAGATCTTGTACTTAAGTAAAAGTAGAAGTACCAGAGAGTAGGATTACTCTGTTACAAGTAAAAGTCCTGCATTCAAAATGTTACTCAAGTATAATCAGAATATACCTAAAGTACCAAAAGTAGTCGTTGTGCAGATTGGTCCATTTCAGAATAATATATATGATATGTTTTATAATGATTGATCATGAAAGTGTTCTCAAAGCTGGTAAAGGTGCAGCTAGTTTGAATGACTTTGTATACTGCAGGGTAGCTTGTGGATTTACTCCAGGTGGAACTAAAGTCTGATTCAACACTTGATTAGATTTCACATCATTCATCCAGATCTGTGAAGTAACTAAAGGTATTAAATACATGTAGTGGAATAAAAGTAGCAAAAATGTGAAATACTCAAGTAAAGTACAATTCCCTTAAACTTTACACCTCTGCTCATACCTTTTCCTTTTAAACTTTATAATCCTCCAACACTAAGGTAACATTACTTTGAAGGCAGAATTTATTTTGTTTCTCATAAAAGGTAAATAAATGCACAGGTAGTTCACAATGCATATAAAAGAGGTCAGACACAGGGGCGCCACCAGGGATTTTGGGCCCCATGAAAAGATATCACATTGGGCCCCACCACCAGGCCCAGGCCACGCCAACCAAGCACAATTGCTGTAACTACACCTCCAGAACCCAACCCACTCATGTATGCTTTAAATAACTCTACCTGTACAGGCTTGCATCTATCATGTAGTCCAATACTAACTGCACAGTATTTACTGACACTGAGCGGTGAACATAATAACACTGTGCAGACGTGCAACATTCTGCTGCAACATTCTACTGCAGTATAATTCACTATTTGATATAACACTAACATTCCTGACAATAGATCTCAATAGTCATCTTTTATGCTGTACATGCCTTTTTAATAACATTTTTGAATGGAACAAATCTAAATAAATATAACTTAAATATACATGACCTCTTAAATTAAAATAAAGTGAACATTAACACCAATATTATAATTTATAAAATGCTATAACAAAAAAAATAACATAAGCAGCAGATTTTTTAATTACATATACATACCAACTACAAAATAAGCGGGTATTAAAGTGTAAACGGACAACAAAACGGAAGTGAAAAGGCCTGATGGTGGTGCTAAATCAGAGCCTATTACCTGTTCTCAGTCTTTTTCTCATCATGCATCTGGTGTGTAGTGATCCAATATCGTTACCATAGCCTTGCCCTTTAACAGTTATTACGAGCCCTGGCTCAGCCTTACTCACCAAGAGCCCAGCGCCTAGCCTTCTCAAAGTCCTTGAAGTCCAGCTTTCTAGTCAACTGGCTTTCAATGGACAGCATGGCAAGACTGCAAAGCCTTATGGGGGGTCAGGGCTGCTGAGCCTAAAGATGGATCTGTTGGTCCTGGCACCAGGGGGAGGGACAACTGATTTAGTATAAATAGCTGCTAAAAATGTACCTGCATTTATTAAATGTCAGCTAAAAGAGGAGTGAAATGAAAAACCTCTGCATTTTCTGTGAAGATATTAACAGTACTTAATGTCAGCAAAACATTACAATTATTATTTACAATGGACTAAGCTTAGCTAACAGACTAATTTCCACTACTCATAGACCACACCCACCTTTTCTTTTGAAAAACTGGGTGACACACTTTAGTCCCCTTTAGTCCCTCTCTCTTGTCTTTCTCTCCTTTCTTTTCTTTCTTGAAAGCCTGACTTTGTTAGTGGTTGAGACATTGTACACACGTAAGTACTAGCCTCCCTCCTCACATGCTCTCACTTTCTGCTGCTAGAAAGTGCGGTGCCGCACAGCGTTTGGAGGCAGGACCAAACCATTACATGTAAATAGATGGGGGTGTTCGATGCTTTGGATAATTAACTTTTGGAAGAAAATAAGTTAAATGAATCGTAAGTTTAGTGAGTACATCATCAATATGACGTTATATTAATGTTAATTATTGATGATTGATGAAAGGTTACTTACATTTTTTTTCTTAATGTTCTAAATATATTTGGGGCCCCTGTCAGTCACGGGCCCTTAGAATCGTCCTAACTTTTCACCCCCTTACGGCGCCCCTGGTCAGACAACTTGAAACATTTATAACAATTCCATTTTTCCGGAGCCTAACGTATCGTCCACACGGTTCCGTCACGTTGAAGCTTTCCGGTGGGCGTGTCTGGCGTGCGACCAACAACCAATCACATTCATCTCCCACCCCGGACACACAAGCACGCGGTTTGATTGGCTAGCGCTTGTACTGGCATATGATTTGATTGGCTGGCGCTTCCTTTTCTCAACTTTCGAAGCGAGCAACGGAGGCAAAGCAACGGAGGCAAAGCAACGGAGGCAAAGCAACGGAGGCAAAGCAACGCGGCGGAACCACAATGCAGTTCGGCAAAGCTTGACATCACCCCATTCTAAGTGAATGGGAAGCGTCTCCGTTGAAGCATGCACCGGAACCGCGTGGAGGTACCGTTAAAGGGACGGTTCCTCTGTAGCCAGAATTTTGCAATAGTTTTTGTTGTTGGTTGTGGTCATAATAAATAGTGAGGGTTCACTCTTGCGCCTGGTGGACATTATATATATGGCTACCTGGAACGATAAACTGTACAGCATCATTTAAACATGTTCAGCAAAGACCAAAAACACATTAATTGAAGCCAAGTCGTTTAAACTTGCAAGAAGACAGTTATATTTTAAGTTAAAATGATGCTTCTTCAAAGGTTAATGCTTCCTGTTTCACACCTCTGTGCCCCGCCATTACCGCTGTGTGGCTTCTGTTGCATCACAGCTTCATGTGATGCAACTAGAAGTGACAAAAATAACACAACCACAAAGAGAGACTTCTTTAAAAGTGGCAGCACACAAACTAAGTGTTCCGTTTGCCGTGTGGTTGCAGACGTGAAGCCCTCCAACGTGCTGATCAACACGCAGGGCCAGGTGAAGATGTGCGACTTCGGCATCAGCGGCTACCTGGTGGACTCCGTGGCCAAAACCATGGACGCCGGTTGCAAACCCTACATGGCAGTAAGTACAGAGAGAGAGAAAAATGTTTTACAGCTGAAAATCTGAAGCTTCATTTTACCAACACAAAATCAGCAGCTGAATCTGCATCGCTTCCTGGAGTGGATTTCAGCTGATTTCATATTAAGTCAAAGTAATAATAATTCAGTGTAGAAATACTCTGATACAAGTAAAAGTCATGCATTACAAATGTTACTTAAGTAAAAATACACAAGTATTAGCAGCAAAATATACTGGATCTACTGGATATACTGGATATTGGATCATAAGTACTCATGATCCAAAGGGGCCATTCTGGGAATAATACATATAACTGGTTTATAGTTTGTCATGCATTAATGTGTTCATCATTCTAGTTTTGAAGCTGGTAAAGGATGAGATAACTCATTCAATAACAGATCATTGACTTTTGATTCAGTCTTTATAAAGTACATCATAATGAATTAGTTGATTCAATGTTCATTTAAAAAAAAAAAACATGACTTGTTGTAAAGAACATTTAGTAGGATTTGATTTCATAACAGTGGTGGGATTTGACCATGAGGACAAACTCCATAAGTTCACAAACACCTTTCAATAATGTGACCAGCCTCATGAGTAGACCGCCCCTCTCTCAGTCTCTCATTATTACCCGCACACTTATTGAGCCGGGTTACATTTTAACCCGCTCTGCCGCTGGTTGGCTGAGTGGTTTTTAGGGCAGGTTAGCGCTGAGGGAACATCGCCGTCTGTGTGTGTGTACAAGAAGGTTAGGATGGCAGGGAAGCGTGCAGGTTGTCCCTGACAACCACTGCCATACGTGACATCATCATTCCTCCCCTCTGTCCCGCAGCCAGAGAGGATCAACCCCGAGACCAACCAGAAGGGCTACAGCGTTAAATCTGACATCTGGAGTCTGGGAATCACCATGGTAAATCAGCTTTAATGACTTTTAACTTCTCTTTTCTGATCTCTTCCTCCATCTTAGTTTGTCTAAATGTATAAAAGTCTGTGAAGGGTGGGAATTATTCATAATAATAGATAAATCTCGTTCTATGAGGCATGGCTCCAGGAGTGTCTAGACGTTTTATAACGAGTTGTTAAATTATAGCTTCGCATTTGCACATTTCAAACGCAGAACCGAGAATATTTTGGATTCAGCAATCTATTCCCCATAATTTAACCTCCTCTCTGCTCCTCAGAGTGATTATTAGCAGAGAATGTTCCAGCACAAGTCTCATTTGAATGGCAATAAGAGCGCTAAGTGTTTGGTGGGCAGAGGAGAAGAGCTTTTAAATGAAAGAGGTTAAAGAAGAGTTCAGATTTCAGGGTGAACAGTGTTATTATGAGTAATTTGAAGATTTGCATGTCTTAATTTCAAGAAATCTTCCAAACTGGGCTAGACAGAAACAAGTGTATTGAATAAAATACACTTACGGTGAGAAGAGACGCTTGACAGTTTATAGTGAAATAACTATTATAGGAATTTTGAATTATTATTAAGGTCTTTGGTAAAACAGTAAGATATATTGTGAGTCCCTGAGTGGTTTCACATGCTGACTGATTTTAGAAACCTGAATAATACGGCCGTCAAAAAATCCGCACATACTGTATGTGGCAAAAAATGATGAAATGAGTGGTATTTAAAATAACACAAACATCAATTCACCTTGCATATAGAAATATCCTTTGTTGCAAGTCCAAACTAACATTCATGTCTCCAATTATATCTGAAATACACAACCAGAATCTAAACTCAAATAAACAGTGTAACATATTTTTAGAACACCATTATCTTGTCGTTTTTCTGAATACTACACGTGAAGATATTCAAATGTTTTATTCTAAGAGTATAGAATTGTATTTAAAATGATAAATGTCACTAAACCAGGGGTAGCCAACACGGTGCGGGCACTTAGTCGCCCACAGGGGTAACGTGAGTCGCCCGCGGGGCATGTTCTAAAATAGCTCGCCAAGCAAATCCAAAATGTAAAAAATACACAAAACAAAAAAGGAAATGTAATTAAAATATTCTACCCTATGCATAAACGAAACCTCAATGTGTGTTGCAACTTGCATATTTATTTATTGCACTTGACGCACACACACATACACACATGGCATAATTTACACTGGGGACAGGGGGGACATGTCCCCCCCACTTTTCGAAATCCCGTTTGTGTCCCCCCACTTTACAAATATGTTTCTTATTTATTATTATTATTATTATTAAGCAGTCATAATTGTAAAAAATAAAGTAAGAAATGTGTACTATAGGACAGTTAAAAAAAAAAAACAGTTTAAAAGGGGAGTGATTAGTAAAATATGCATAAATAAAAAGAAAGAATGCTAACTAGGTAACATAAGATAAGAATACACAAGTTTAAATGAGTTGTTATTGGTTGTGATCATATTCTAAAGATGTTTGGATTATTGAAAAGTATACAGCTCCATTTCATCTGAGTGTTGAGAGCTGTATCCATACATTTATTTTGTGCTCAAAGTGCACCAGATTGATGCATTTAACTTCAACATTTAAAAAAGAAAAAGATCTTCCTGGGGGTGCATGCCCCCGGACCCCCCTAGAGGATGTGAGGTCCGCCCTAGAGGATGTGAGGTCCGCCCTAGAGGATGTGAGGTCCGCCCTCAAATAAAGCAGGTTAAAATAATTTAATTGCATACATTTTATTTGAGTAAACACTGAAAACGGGTCCCACAGACCCAAACAGCACACAAAGGTTAAAGGTAAGCATATAATAATGTGCTAAATATATATATATATATATATATATATATATATATATACACTGCAAAAAACAGTGAAATCCTCACGTAGAAGCTGGAACTAGAAAGTATTTATTTTTTGACAGATAAATTACCTAATAAAGTTTAATGGATTATCAAAATTGTAATTAATTGGTATTGTAGTCAATTACTCAATACAAAAATGTAAGAATTAATTCACCATTACACACTGTAATTTATTATTATAAATACATTTGAATAATTGATCTCCACTTTAATAATTTATTTGTTCATTTATTTATTCATTTATTTGTTTTGACTGTTTACAAAATAAATATAAGTCCTTTTTGGTTATCTTGTTTCTATATGTTTCTCATTTATAGAGGTGGGGTCATTGGAGGGTTTGTCAGAATTTGTTTTTACTGACTAACTATGATGAATAGTAAGATCTCTCATGTTCCCTTCAAACCTGACAAGCTCAGACCAAAAAACCTGAATACTGCTGTTCTTGCACGGCTCATGTTCTCAGTGAGAGGGATTTCTGTTTCAGATCGAGCTCGCCATCCTGCGCTTCCCGTACGACTCGTGGGGCACGCCCTTCCAGCAGCTGAAGCAGGTGGTGGAGGAACCCTCGCCCCAGCTTCCTGCAGAACAGTTCTCCCCCGACTTTGTGGACTTCTCCTCCCTGTGGTACAACCTTTTCTCTCAGTTTGTCTAGCCAGGAAACATTCAGTTTCATATCATTTTTCTTACACACAAGGCTGATCGGCAGAATCACTCTGCTCATTAAATCAGATAGAAATGTGTGTAGAACGAAACTGATTGGCCTTACATTTTTTTACACAATTTCCATACTGTATTTAGTTTTTTTAAATTGAAAATAAGAACAGTGAGTTTAAAATGAGGTTGAACAGAATACAGAGCGAAACACAAATTACACATAATCACTAACGTTGATTTTGTTTGTTGCTGCCTGGTTTAATCCCCTGGTGATTGTTTTTATTGAACTGTAATTCCTTACAGGAATGCAGGTACTCATCTTGTGGCTTTACACACATTTATTTTCCCCGACATCAACAGTGTTTTGAGCAAATTTGAACACCATTTCTCCACAGGAGTATATCACCCCTAAATTATAGTTTTTTAAGTAATTACTTAACCGGCGTTACCTTGAAATACTGAATAAAAGTCAGTTTTTCACATGCCTTTATGTAAAACAAAGAATCCAATAACACTGATTTATTTTCTTTGAAATAGGGGCCGCATTAATTTTGTATAGTAGCTTGTCCAGATGTTTACAGCGTTTGAGTGAACATGCATGTGTTTGGGAAGTGGTTAGCATACCACTGGATAAAAGAGGCTTGTATTTTAGTGCACAAGTTGTGTGTGAGTTTGTACATTTCTATTTTGTTATATTTCTGTCCTTATCTTGCCATTGACATTCCGATTGTTTTGGAGTCATATGAGAAAACAAACATTTGTACAACAATTCAAAGTACCACAGAGTGAATATTGATACACAATAAAGTGTTCCTTTATGGATGAAAAGATGAAATAATGACTTTAATGCATGGATATGGTGTCGTTTATAATGTACATTTATTGTGTTAATGTTGCATTGTTCCCTCCCCAGCTTAAAGAAAGTTTCAAAAGAGCGGCCGACTTACACAGAACTCATGGTGAGTGTTGTATTTTTTATATATTTGTTGTTGTATTTTCTTTATTCTGCTGTTTAAGCAGATGCATGCAACATGTAATACTGTTAATCAGACACTGGAGGGTGCACTAGGATCTATATTTCCTCCCTCACATAGTGAATGAGTTAATAAGCTGTAATGCCTCAGTACATACACACCAGTTCTCATATCACACTTATCTGATATACAATTGATTCTTAATTAGGGCTATGAAAAAAAAAGTATAATATTGCAGCATTTAATGATTTTAGGAAGGGCAACATTCAGACAATTTATGTGTTCAAATACCACTTTGAATGAATTATTGTGGAGCTGCAGAGATATCCAGGCCTACTAAAGGGCCCTCATATTTTCATCGAATCATTTCAGTTACAATTTAATTGGAAATAATCACAAAAAGTATTTTTTTTCAAACTGAATTCATTTATTTTTTCTCCTCAGCAACATCCCTTCTTCACCTCCCATGAGGCCAAAGAAACTGACGTGGCTAGCTTTGTGAAAATCATCTTGGGAGACTGAGTGGCCACAGAAGGAAGGGAATATCTGTTAATAAGAAGAAATACAAACAAACAAAAAAGCACCAATCGCAGCCTCTGTTACCTGCAGCCTGCTCTCACCCCTCCCTCCAGAAAGGAGCATCAGAAGGAGACGCTGACTCGGCATAGAGAGGAGTTTGCCCCCATTATGTCCTCTCTTCATTATCTGACACGGGAAGGGTGGGGGAGACGGGTTCCTCACACATAATCTGGAATAATTTAAGATATCTGTATGCCCCTGTGCACCGCCTACTTCTCATACAGTCTTTTTGCTAGTGAAAAGAGGTGCAGATTATATTAAAAAAAAAAGATGAATGATATAATGCTATCTATGTATAATCTAAATGTTTGTATACTCAAAGCAAGTGTTGCATCGGTTTATTCATTGACTGCATGTACAGAATATATCTCTGGGGGAAAATAGGAGGAACAGTTGCAGAGTCCGACAGTCGGATATATGCAGATTTGCGACCTTCGCTTCAAGGCCCGAAATAGGTACTACACACCAACTGCTTTCCCTAGATTACAAAGCGTATGTGTGTGTGTGTGTGTGCGTGTGCGTGTGCGTGTGTGTGTGTGTGTGTGGGGCTGCACGATTTTGGGTGAAATCTATTTTTAGGTTGGGATAAGGATTTACTCTCACTATTCTGAGGGTAACATTGTATTTAAATGTTTCCTCTGCAGCCTCATCATACATTATGCTCCTGTTATTTATGATTTTGGGGGCAGAATTATTGTGTCATTTTCATACCAGGTAGCCTACATTCATTTTGTCGTAGTGCTTTGATGCTAGCAAAGCATTAGCACCTGCTAATTGTGCTAATATCTGAAACACTCGGTTTTTCCAAGTATATGTAAAAATGGTTTGAAACTTTGACTTAACACAGTAACTTCATTAATTCTGACACTTTACATGTTACAACATTTGTAAAACAATCCCCAATGGTAATGAGTTTAGGGAAAACTAGCAGCGCTTAGCTTGTTGCAGCTAATGCCCCCGCTAATGCTAAGATACGAGTGAAATGAGATCCTGTTCCTGGCGAAATTCTGGAAACCCGTTAAATCATGCAGCCCTACTTTGCTCACACACTTAAAAGTGATTTATATATGAGGTGTGTGTTGACATTGGTCAGTTGTGGAAGAATATTGCCCATTTTCTCCTTGTTGTCTGTACTGAGCCAATCACAACCCTCTCCCCTCCATGTTCAACATGAAAAGAACTGGACATTATTATTAATATTATATTAATTATTTGTATTATTTAGATCCAGGGTTTTGTCCCCAGATATATTTACTGCAGTTTCTCTTATTTATTACAACTGCTGTTTTCCGTTTGAAAACTTGAGCGATTCTTTGGAGACTTCTCTTGTGTGTTTGTTTTTGTCGTGTTCTTCTTGGCTCAAACACGTAAATGCTTTGTAACTTTAAATGTAACTTGCAATCCTTCTATGTGCCTCTCCCATCATATCCTCCCTCTTCACCTGGCATCATAATTCCACTTCCTGTTTGCTTTTATTACTCTGCGTTTCTCGTCAGTATTGAGAAAAAAGAAGAAGAGTAAACTCTTCTTTGTTGTTGCCTTGGCTTTTTCCTCATGGTGGTGTCTGATGGCAGGAAGTGTCAGGCTGCATCCACAAAGCTCAACGTGTGGTTGTTGTAATGTGATGACAAAGTGGGAAACTTTAAATACTGTAAGCGACAGGATGGCAGGGTATTGTCACAGTTGGATGTTGTGGATCATCTTCTTGCCTATAAATATTTTGTTACCAGGTTATCCCTTGGTGTTTTGTGCATTAGTGTTTTTATGTCTCCTGTCAATTTTTTGCTGAGTTTAGTTAAAGTTGTGTGGTTAATGCTGAAAGTCTCGATTTGGGATTTAAAATAGGAAAAAGTTAATTGGAATTCAAAAACAAGTTCAGAATTGTCTTCTTAGTTGTTGTGGTAAGTTTCAGAGAAATCATAATTCAGCGACCTCGAAAACATGGCAGTCCAACAGTGTTAAAATAAACAGGGTTTTATGAAAACAACAATTGTTTCTTAAATGTAGACATCCCTAAATGGAAAGCAATTGTTCCAGTAGAAACATGACACTGAAACATGAGACAAGAGCTGCGTAAAGATATGTGAAGCTGCATTCATTGATGTCTTTATGGTCACTTTGACAGTCAAATAAGTTTCATTATTGACATGTTATCACCCTATAACATTTGGTTTGTTCTAAAGGTAAAGTTGGTAAGATTTGGTTGTGTTTCCAAACATTGTTTCGCTCGTCACAAACTGTCTCTTTTTCTGCTAAATGTTCCACTACGTTTACCAGCTTACATGTGATTGTTGCTGTTTAACAGAGAAGCTGTTGGGCAAAACCAAAACAAAGAGCTAAAAGAAGCTCAAATGCAAAACAGCGTCGGATGACCCCGATTTTTCCGGAGTGCCTACATTAAAAAATATTTATCAGAGCAACTTTAATTGTTTTCTGATGCTCTTAAAAGGTTGTTTACTATGATACAATTATTTCCACAGCAGGAAATAGGCCTATTATTTAAAAATTAATCCTTACCATTATCATAAAATCAAGTACGTACTATTAGCATAATCTTCATACGCAGTAAATGCGATAAACAAAACTATTGCACATTAGGCCTTTAGCAAACTAAACAAAGTTGTACTCAAAGGTTCAGTTCTGTCTTTAGCACTTTTATGTCTTCAAAAATGTTATTCTGTTTTTTGTCGCCATTCAAATTTGTGTCCTCAGTCGGCTTTGTCGTTTCAATGCGTTCACATGGGAGTATCCTGTTTTGTATCAGACAAACTTTCCTTCCACACCAATATATGCACCCTGCTTGACTCGGGTCCCTCACAAAGCGTTGATGTTCCAGAAACTCACCCTCCTCCATAAGTTCCCCTAGGTAACCAAACCTTTCATCACACCCAGCACATGACACACAGTGGATGTGGTTGAGCGCTTTGAACATTTTGCCCCTTTCCTTTCTTTAGTAATGAAGCTGAGTCAGAAGATAGGTGGCATTCTGATAGCTATTATGTTGACAGGCTCCTCATCGGTATGTTGTTATGCCAAAGATGGGAATATACTGTTGAGAATCTGTAATTGGCCTCTATTACATGATTAAATTAGACAAATTAAAGCATGACCAAAGAGCATAAATAGAAAAGCGATGGGACATTTTTCGATGTGTGGGACAGTGTTTGAAGCTGCTAAATAAGCATCAAGAAAAAAACTAGTCCAGATACCCTTGATATCCTACCTGTAAAATATCATCACATGCATGGTCTTGTAGCGTTGATTTTGGTGTGTGTAGTATGTTTAGGTCTATTAAGTGCCTGACGATGCTTTTTTGTGGTTTAAACACTTTTTTCCATCTTTGTGAGTGATGCTTAAAAACTGTTTTGGTCTTTTATTTCCTCTCTGGCACACACCACATGTTGCTGTGATTGTTTGCACTGTACTGAGGAGCCATATCACAAAGTCACATTGCATGTTAGTTACTGTCATTTGGATCCTAAAAGGTTGCAGTGTAGGTGGATATTGTTTCAGTTTCAGCAGGGTGTTATAAAGAGATTGGAAGTAAAATCTTCTGATGTTTTTTTTATTGAATTTGCTTCTTTGTAAATTCTCAGTGTTTTTTTCCTCACCTACACCTATGTTACTAGTTATATCTTCTTTGATTCACTAGCTGACATTCTTCTTCTTTACTGTTGTCAATTGCATGTTGCTGCAACAACTGTCGATCTTTGAAATAGTCATGTCTTTGTGCGAGTGCATACTAAGCAAAAACATTGTCCAATAGTGCTACTATTGGACAAAAACACTAGAGAAACTCTAAGTGCAGCACAGCTGGATCGATCAGCATGACATAAATGAATAATCCATGCAGTTCTGTGTGTCAAATTTACTTCTGAAAATACCCACAAGTAAATATTACAAAGACATCAATATTACGGCCGAATGGGCTTTATTTGTGAGTTTAGTTTTTTTAAAGAACAGTATCGTTTCCCAAGGCATCATGCAAAAATTGACTGATTTCTCAAAAACAAGAAAATATAAATACCACTCTTGGAATAAAATTATACTGTCTCTTTATAAATTAAATGATTTGGATTAGAAGCAAAATTCCAAAGTTGATATTAGGGCTGGTCAATATATCAACCTCATATCGATATTGCAATGAGACTAGATACTGTCTTGTATTTTTCCTAATTTTGCATAAGAGTTGTTGTTTCCTGGTCTTAAACGTTACAATGCAGAAAAGTTAGTTATTTTCTCAACAATTCCAGCTGTTAAGCTTTCAGTTGAAAGTCTACATTGTGCTAAGTTTACAAAGCTTTGGCCACTACAATTTGAAAATGCACAGTATCCACCTAATAATTATAGTATTAAATGATTACATTTTTAAGGTATATATTTTAAAAGGGGCATTTGTCCCATTTTGTACACTCGGTATCCCAAAGCTGCACTCAGAACCTTTTAACTCCACACTCAATGTTTATTTGTTCTGCTCAGCAAAAAGCACTTCTGGTCACAGTTAACTCATATTCATTGTAGAGTAATGAGGAAACTCCAATCACCTGTCGCATGGCATTTTCCTGTGTGTGTGTATTTTTCTGAGGGCAGCGCTATCTTTACCCTTCTGTTGCTCTCCGGGTCACGTCATTACGTCATTCACACAGATAAAAAAAGCATATCCCCCAACTTCTTCAAATCCTGCAGGAACAATTCTTTTTTTTGTCTCAGTCTCTTTTACATGTTGCATTCACATGTCTGCTTGCACGCGGGAATTCCCGCCTGCGAGTCTATTTGTGGCCAATGCTCACCTGCTGAGTAAACCTCTGTAGCTGGGGGTTAACAGGGGCAGGACGTCCGAGTGGCAACTTTCCTTTGCGGGCGATTATTGTCACATCCCGCCATCATCCCGCTCTTTACCTCTGAGGTAAACAGGGTCCCAACAACGGGCACGTACTTCTGGATGATGCACTGGTAACATCCAGTTGGCGGGAGGCTTTTTACTGGAACAAGGCGCCTCATTTTACAAGTGGAAGTCCCACACACATTTGAGATTTGGAGAGAATCAAAGGAAATGTAGCTTCTTCCTCATCCTCTAAATGTGTCACAGGATGAATTCAGAAATATCTAAAAAGTCCCACTTCCAGCCCTTTACAGATCCGGTTCTGCCAAGATACATTTAATGTAAATCTGTCGTTTGTGCGTGAACCGAGGTTTTTGAACACTTTGTTTTACCCAACTATTCTTGCTTGGAGCGTTCTCGAATACTACGACTCGTAAGCCTTGGAGCTTCTGTCTCTCTGTCGCAGGTGGTAAACTGCTGGTACACACAGCTGTATGTGACTTCTGGTGTTGCGGTGTTGTGTTCTTTAACCGGGGTTATCCGGGCTAGTTCGCCACAGTAATCTGTTATCCAGAGATGCTACTGTACGTGGAAGAGGGTCTTTTGTTGCTGTCGGGTGGGGTTCAGGGAAGGGTAACTGTGGCTACAGCTCCTTGCCCCATGGAAAGTGAAGTTCTCAGTATATTTACACATCTCTAAAGCCTCTGCTAAAGACTGATGACTGTTCATTAAGATGCTCAATTAATTTCTATAAATATTTTAGATTGCTCAAACTGATTATGTGCAATTGTAATGATGGAAATTCAATAAAAAAAGAGGTATTTTTACACAACGAGGTCCGTGCCTGATCTGTTGTTGCAGTTTGAATTTGTTTGTGGAGCAAAATGTTCATTGTGCTTTCAAAGAACTGGGACGCAAAATGGCGTCCAACTACTTATCCAAATGACAGAACTCATAAGGTCAGTAGTGAGGTCAAGACATATCCTTGGAACACTAATTTACGTGGATCAAGTCTTGTGCTAATCCATAAAGTAGCCTACATGTCATATTTCAACAGAAGTAAAAAACGCCAAACTAATCAGGGATAATTCTGTGGAGTCGTTACATATTTTTACTACATTTTGTGAGGTTTCATCCGACAACTGAAGAAAATAATGTCTGAACCAGTGATCAAATATGATGCCAAAAACCATATGGATTGAAGTTACTTTTTTTAATAAATGTTTTAACTGACAATGTAATTGGCCAAAGTAGCAAAGTTTTATCCTTGTTGTCCATTCATGTTTACTTCCTCTCTGCCTTCTTCTGGTGATTTATCTGACGTCCAGCGCTCCGTCTTTTAACCTCTTTTCCTTTCTCTTTCTTGATCCTCCTTAGCAACCTTCATTATAGTCCTTGACAGTGGTCTGTACTGCTGTATTAACAACGTGTCACATGTTAAGAATTTACAATCAAAATCGAGTATTCAACTAAGCCGTGTCATACAAGTTGTTAGTAGCCTTAAGGGCCTACACAGTTGTTATGCTAAACCACATTGCCCTTCACTGGATGTATAATGAGCTGCACTAAACTACATTTTAGCATTTAAAATACCTAGCCATTCTTTTGCGGTTATTTTGGTGAAAGTAACTCAAAAGTAGTGTAACTCATTACATTTCAGAGACAGTAATATTGTCATGTAACTTATTACTTTCAAAAGACAGTAATATGTAATATATTACATTTTGGAAGTAACTTGCCCAACACTGCCGGGGACACATATTGATGTATAAAAGACATCACAAAGTGCATTTTGCATGATAGGTCCCCTTTAACTAACAGCAGCCACACCTGTTAAATCAATAAACATTTACTGTGGGATGTGTTGCTTTCCTGCTGCTGTGACTTCCTTTTAAAACTTATTTTCCCCCCTACGCCTCTAGACTCGTTCCCAACTCAAACTTGAAATTGTTTTTCTTCGATGGAGTCTATTTATCAAGTCATATTGATATTTCACAAACTATTCATGTTGCCGGTTTTGTGGCGTTTCTATGTCTTTACCAGCGGGAGACTCCTCGCTGCACGCCTGCCATGCTGCTGCTCCTGCTGCTGCTGGTTTGAATTTCAGAATATAAGCTAAGACTGGCTCCCCATACTGACAGCTGATGATCTCATGGAAACTTTGCTCAGAAGCGCACTTAAAAACTGGAAAATGATTTATAATGAAATGCAGCCCCTGAGTTTTCTGGGGGGGAGGTGAGTTTCGGCAATGGATTCGGGGCACGAGCGGGGAGTATTTTTATTCATTAGACCTTTGACATTTATGTTTCCAACTTCCAAGTAACCCAAAGTAGTAATTACATCCTGTCATGTCCAGCAGCAGAATGTCTTTTATGTTGTTATACTTGAGGTGGAAAAAAAGAGCTCCTGCAGACATGTGGGGTTTTAATGCATGCTTTACCTCTGGAAAAGCCACTCAGTGTCAAACTGTGTGACTGACAGGTCGATATAGGGGCCCTATTATGCTTTTTGTGTTTTCCCTTTCCTGTAGTACTTGAAAATGTTCTGCAAATGAAAAATCCCAAAGTTCCCTCCAGATACACACTCCCCCCCTGCCTAATAATACATAAAGACATAACTATATGACACTCGCGCTTCTATTGGCTAGCTTTCCAACACATTGTACGTGATAGGCCAAGGGGCCGGACATTTCTAAGAGGTTGACCAATCACAACAGAGCTGGCCAGCTAACCAATCAAAGCAGACTGGGCTCTGGTTTCAGACAGAGGGTGAAAAGAGGTGCTGCAGCACAGGCAGTATGAGAAAAATAAAGAGCTGTTTGAACATTAGAGCATGTCCCCTTTAAGAGAGGAAAAAGTGCTACACAAAACAAAAAACACTCCCAACAAATGTCTGGTTCCTCCGTCCTCAGGAAAAAATGACAACAAAAAACTGGGGGAAGAGTTGTACTTATTTGGTCAAAAGGGGGGAGGGAGGTCGGGTGGGGCGTTGCAGTAAGGGGGCGGGCATTAAGGCGGAGGAGGTGAAGGTGGGGGGGCTGTTGGTGCACCTGCGTTAGAGTCGCTCCTTGGGAAAAGGGATGAAAACAGGATCTGAAACTCAAACAACATCCTGTATAGCCCCCCCCCTCCCTCCTCCTCAACCCGCCGTCCCCCCATCCCAGTTGTGTTTATGCTGTTTTTCCTGCTCCTCTCTGTAGAAAGTGGGGGCCTGTGTGAGAATGGGATGGATGGAGGGGGTTGCTTCCTTCTGACTGGCCCCTGCTCATCAGCATACACACCTCCCGTACACACACACACATTTCCCATTCATTCATCTTTATCCAAATCGTAAAGCTGCTTTTTCATACTTTAAACATATAACAATGACTGTGACTAAGATTTGTGTAGAAATACTTTTCTCGTTTGGGAAGTTTGATAGTGAGGGAATTCCCAGAATATTGTAGTTTTGGAGTCACGTACAGTAGCTCACATGCTTCCTGGCGCGCTTACCACTTCCTTTATGAATTATTTTTGTGCATATGGTGTAAATGTTATGAGTAGGCATGAGTGTAAAAAAAAAATGCAATTACGTTTTGCAGCTCTCCAAACACAGTTTAACATGAACCCCAGGTTTTTTATTTAAACTATACATAAAGAACATAATCCAACACGAGAGAACAGATTACTCATGAATACATATTACACATAAATGAGATAAACCAATAAAATATAAAGTACGTATTCAA